GAAGGCTAAACAATAAACTGGATACTTGCTTATCAAGGCATTCTCTGAAATTATCAAATCATATCTATCAAATAGACTCTTCAGAGTCAAATGTGACCAAGATTACTCTGATTTGAGAAAAAAGGTACCTCAAGGGAATGTGCTAGGACCGATCTTATACCTCATCTATGATATATCTCAAATCAAGCAACAATAGCTACTTTTATGGACAATACAGCCATCGCAGACAACACCAAAGAAGCTACAAAAAATCTGCAAAAAGCTATAAAGTGAGAAAGCTATAAATGGATTAAAAGATAAAATAGAAAACTCAATAAAAATAAATTCACGTTAATTTTACTAATAAAAAGGAAAAGCCAATAGTAATAAAGTTAAATAATAACACAATATCGTGTGCAAATACAGTTAAGTATTACTATCAAAGAGAAAATAAAGAAAGCTGTTCAACATTACACAAAAACTTCTATGATAACTCCTGGCAAAAGACTGTTGGATCATCACGGACTGCGTAGAAGACTTAAAAGGATAAAACCGCACAAGTCTAATGGAGAGTATAATTGATTAAGGATAAACTGAGCTTACACGATAGTGCAATCAAAAATTGCTGGTTAGTCGGGACGATTAATTGCAATGTTTTTATATTAAAAAAACAACTAATAAAGATTGTAATTTTTTAAGTAATTATTTTTTAAGAGCTTTACATTAGAAAAATTATCTTTTATATTATTAAAAAAATAAAACAGCTCGTAAAAGTCAATAAAAAGACGATAAAACTTTCTTATAAAGAAAAGAATATTTATATTTTTTAAGGGAGGACCCCACTCCTGAGGTTTCAAAAAAAATCGAAATTCTTTTTATTGCTTTACTTTAATCATTAGTTTGAGAAAAAAGATTCGAAAGCAAAATTCAAAGTCAAAAGTAATCGAGAAAATAAATTTCAGGCCGAAGCGACTCCGCCTCTTTTGTAATCCGCCTGGACAGATAACTATGTACTTATCAAAATATGAGTTTTGGATGCTATCTATGGATGTTACAACTTGTACTAAATCCAATTTCAACAATTTCAGCGTCGGTTTCAGTGTGAAAGTGATATCATTAGTAAACATCAAGAAAGCGCACGCTTCATTTTACATTTTTCTCAAAACTGCATTTTCCGAGACAATGTACATGATAACTCAAAAAGTTTTCATCTGATTAACTTCAAATTCTAACTGAATATTCTTAGCAACATTCTCTATCATCTGAAAATTCATCACGTAGAATTTTTAAAAATATTTTGTAATTCTTTTTAATCAACAATTAAAGACAATTTTTTTTCCAAAAAATTGCAACTTTTTTTCAAACCACCGCCATTTCAAGAAAAATCAATATTTTAAAAAATTCCTACGTCAGATGATAACAGTGTAAATGATATCTCTGTGAAGTTAGCACCTCAACTTTAAAAATCGGAAATTTTAATAACAGTATTGCTTGCACCCGCAAGTAGTTCTACAGTTCCTGATAGGTTTTATAAATAGTTCCATTGATTTAGGCCAAAAATTAAAAAAAATAAAAATATGCGGTGCTAATTTCGCGTGGTACCACAAGATTCGAGAAAGTCCATTTTTTTGAAATCTTAAACAAGAATAAAATATCTCACATAGTACTGGCTGTTTAGAGGTACTTTTCTCTTGACGTGCGGTTCCAGCGCAAGGATTAAAAATTGTTTAAACATATTAAAATGGCCGGTAATATCACCTGTCAGGAATTGTGTAATTTCTCTAATACAAAAAAAAATAGCGCAAAAAAATTAATTTTTTTTAAACTTGAGGTGCTAGCTCTTATTTTAAAAATTTATTTAAAAATATATAATAGCCAGAACTATTGTTATAATCGATCGGGAACTTTAGTACTCTTCGAGTACTTTAAGATTCCGTCAAAAAAATTGTCTTTCTCGAATCTTGCGGTGCTACGCGAAATTAACACCGCATATTTTTATTTTAAAAAATTTTTGGCCTAAATCAACGGAACTATTTATAAAATCTATCAGGAACTGTAGAACTATTGCGGGTGCAAGCAGTACTGTTATTAAAATTTCCGATTTTTAAATTGAGGTGCAAACTTCACAGAGACATAAATGATGTCATTTTTTTTTTAGTTTGCATAGCCATTTGCAATCATGTTTGAAATCATGTATATCACTTGAGCCCGTTTCATGAAAACTGTTCCCACAATTCCCATAATTGGATCAGAAAGCTGCCATTTTGTTGTTCAAACGAGATGAAAAAATTATTTTTTACACTAGAAAAGATATATAATAAAATTCTTAAAGTGGTTTTTCAATCAATTTATTCATTTTTCTCCAAAAAATTCACAAAGTTAGAACTAATTTTTGAATGCCAAGAGGGTGAGGCCCTTTCTTAACACTTTATATATTTTCTTTTATTTTAAGATTCCTGAGTCACCACAGCCATATTAAATCGTAAGGTCAGAAGTGAGAAATAATACATTAATTTTTATTGCGTGTTATTTGTAGAATAAAGACAATTTTAACAAAACGAAATGATGAGATCGTTTTATAACAATTGTAGAAATAGACGAAAGCCATTCCTATCCTTATTCCACTTGACAATCAATAAATAATCGCAAAAAGATAAAAGGCATGAAAAGTATTTTTTGAGTTATAAATAAGACTTGAAAGTTATTGTCAGCATTAACATTACCCAAACAATGGCTGAAACCTTTTAAATGTTGTTCAGTATCACGATCTTGATATTTTTACGTAAAAATGAATTTTTAGTGCAAAAATGAAAATAAGAGGAACAATCTTTAGTGATCTTGATCTTAATAAATGTTATCAAGGTCATAACATTGATCAATATTCAAAAGGTTTTAATCATCGTTTGAACATTTTGAGTAATGCTAATGCTGAAGATAGTGTAACTTTCAAGCTTTATAACTCAAAAAGTACTTCATGAAAACATATTTTATTATAGTGTTTTGAAAAGCTCTCGAGGTAAACTACAAGAATATGTAATGAAAAATAAGTGCTCTCCCATTTAAAAAATTTAAAGTAATCTTGATAACATTTATTAACATCAAGATCACATTTTAGAGATTGTTCCTCTTATTTTCATTTTTGCACTAAAAATTCATTTTTATGTAAAAGTCACCCAAGGTCAAATCAATGGTACCATCTTCCCTCTGAAAGTCCCAAAACTTTTGTCTGAAACATTTTTTTCTAAAATGCACTGTTCAAGAGATATTTGAGATGATCGATTAAAATGGGACACTCCGTATACAACGTTTTCGAGCCGATTTGCAACCTGAGCTAGACTAATGATCGCATGTTTTACTATTGATTGATACGTTATATGCTCAATATTATAAAATATCATTAATCCAAACCAGGTCAGAGTGCAAACTCACTCGGGTTCAAATTGCTAATAGCAGAGCTTCTCTCTACTAATAGTATACTTACTTTTATATTTCGGATATGTGAAGTTAGCATTCCAACTATAGCACTCAGAAGTTCTGATTAAAGTTCCCATTTCCTTTTGACGAAACGAAGAGTTCCCTATAGTTTATAATAAGAGTTCTGCTTAATAACTTTTTTAAATAATTTTTTAAAACTTCTTATCAAAAATCGAGATCGAAGTTTTGAACGATTAAATTAGCTCCATTTCGTGAATATCAATATCTAGAGATCTTGATGCATAAAAAAATTTTGAAAAATTAATTTTTAGATACAATAGTTCTGATTAAAGTTCCTGTTTCCTTTTAACAAGATGAAGAATTCTTTGTAGTTTCTAACGCGAGATTCATTTAATAATATTAAAAATAATATTTAAAAATAATTTTTAAAAAATGAGGGTGCTATAACTTTTTATTGAAATTCATCGAATAGTTCTGAGCGGCTTAATAATTTTGTAAATATCTAGAATTTCTGATGCATAAGAGATAAATCCGATCAATGAAAAAGAAATTTTTTTTTTTGAAAATTTTCGAAGACCCAACAAATGTTGCGTATTTCACAAAACATTGATTCAATCGCTTTGAGCCCTAATACTTTTCGATAGAACTCGTCGAGAACTGTCTAGAATTCCAATTAGAACTACATAGTACTCTCAACAAATTTTCGATGATCCTATTAGAATCAAAGCGATTGGACCAACGTTTTGCAAGATATGCAACATTTGTTAGGTTCACAAAAATTTTCAAAAAATTTTTTTTCTTTTTTATCTATTTGATTTGTCTCTTATATACATAAAAAATTCTAGATATTAACAAAATAAAGTTATTAAGCCGCTCAGAATTATTCAATCTTGAATTTCGATAAGAAGTTTTTTAAAAACTATTAAAAATGGTTATTAAGCGAATCTCGCGTTAAAAACTACAGAAAACTCTTCGTTAAAAGGAAGCAGGAACTCTAATCAGAACTATTGTATCTAAAAATTAATATTTCAAAAATTTTTAATTTTTTTCCTTTTTTTCGAAATTTTTGTTCTGCATCAGGAACTCTAGCTATCGATAAAATGAAGCTATTAAATCACTCTGATCTCAATTTTCGATAAGAAATTAGCAACCTCTTTTTTTTAAATTATTAAAAAATGGTTATTAAGCGAAACTCTTGTTATAAACTATAAGGAATTCTCTTCGTCAAGAAGTGAAAACTCTAATCAGAACTCCTGAGTACTATAATTGGGATGCTAACTTCATATATCTCACTGACAAATAAATCTACCTTTTCGTGAGTCGCGGAATTTAAACTTGGTACATTTGTAGAGCAGACGAAAATAATAAGATATAGATAACGTAGCGGCGCGGCGTGAAGCGCTCATTATCCCGTTTAAAGGATAGCACCGATTATACTAACTCGGTAATAACTACTTCATTGAATATTGTAGAAAAAAATGGCTCAGAACCTTCAATTTTTTATCAGAAAAATATTTTTAATCTTTTTGCTCACTGGACGCTGTTTAAGATATACCCTATAAATTTATTATATTATATATACTTACAAAACCTCCAGATTTCTCTGTTCCTTGCTCCAGTTCTTTGATTTTGTTTTCCGCATGCTGAAGTTTCGCTTCGGCTTCTTGTCTACTAGCTATAGCTTCCTCTAACTTTTGCATCACTTCTACTAATCGGCGTTCTTCCTCGGCCCGTGACTTTTCGACTAGGATATCGATCAACGGTTGTACATCAATCTGGAAGCGTTTTGTCGCGCTGAAATCCGGGTCACAGCCTGAACGATGCAACACAATTTGCGATATACATTCCTCTATTAATTTATAATATGCCGGTCTAAAAAATGAAAAAATAAAAAATAAGAAAATAAAGAATTAGTTAATAAGAATAATAAACAAATATACATATTAATTACTTAAATTAATAATAAAAATAAATGCGACTGTACAAGTATATATACTTACCGAACCAGAGCATCATCTCGAATAAATAAAAGATGTTGAAGTATTGATAGAAAGTATGGCTCGGCGGAGGTATCCATTACCATATTTTTAACTACTTCAAAACAATCGTTAACATCGTCTAATTCTAAACGTACGTTGTCAAATCTCTGTACAAATTCCTCATAATCCTCCTCTTTGTGATCATTAAAAATCTTTAAATGCGTAGCCAAGTCTTCCGATTCATCTTTCTCTAATATTTCGAGAATATCGGCTAAACCTACTCGCATTACCTCGTTCCTAAGATGTAAGCGAAAATCTAGATCCTCCGCGGATGATATTATTGAGTTTATGAGTTGAAGACATACTACCTATAATATGAAAATAATATAAAAATAAATTTTATATCAAATTATTTATTTTTTCGTTTCTATAAAAAAAATCACATAATAACTCGTCAAAGATTTTTAAGATGTAATACAATAAGTAATACAAGAATTCGTCATTAAATAAACTTGATTAGTTTATTTACTTGATTTATAATAATTTATACAAATATTATGTTAATTTAATAATGCAACGAAATTATTGTCTTTTAATTATACATATAGAAAAAATTAATATTTCTAAAAGATTAATATTTCTAAGATAGCGTTACATTTTTCATTTGATTTTCTATCATAAACTATCGTAAAAAAATTATTTATGACATATACAATGATTAAAATCGCACAAGTCTAATAAAAAGTAAAGAAATAAACAAAACATACCCTTAAATTTTCGTTTTTCTTATTCATCAATCCCTGTACGATTGGCAAAAATCTTTCACGACCTTTGAATTCACCATTCATAGTAACAGCATCTAAAACCTTTTTGTGACTATCGATGGATATAAGGCACACCGCGCCTAGTAATTTTACAGCTTCGGACATTACAGATGGTTTCGTCGGCTCCAATGACCTGGCCACAATGGTAAGGGCCTCGTGATGGGCCAACATCTCCTTTATACCAACGGTATTATTCATAATAGCCTTTAAACAGCGAATACATTCGTATTGTATTCGTTCATAACGGTTGTCACTAAGAGAAAACAAATTTTTCATTAATTAATAAAGAATAACATGAATTTCGAATTTTAATAAATTCATAAGCAGCACAGGTCTTGTAATAAAGTCTGCTAGAAGCATCATGCAAAACTGAAGTGATAATAAAGTGAAAATTAAGAATATTTTACTAATTGAGCAGCGTAAATGAAGTAATTCTCAAATTAAACTCTTTCGCAGTATACGAAAATCTTACAAAATTAAACTGTTTATAATATTACTAGTAAAATTTCGTTCGTATACAATATAAGCAGTTAAGAAATCAACATAATAAATATCATTAAAAAACGACATTCAAGCGAATAGTACTTTTACATGAATTACCTATCGTAATATATGAAGGCACTGGAATAGAATAATACCAATATTAGAATAAGTTTTGCATTCGAATTGCTATGGAACGCTTTATTCGAACACGCGGAACTCACTTACTTTCGATAACATTCATTGAGAGTAGCCAGAACCTGCTTGAGACCCTTGGTGCCAAATTCCTGTACCCAGCTGAGCGGATTGTTAGTAAGCGCGATCCTGAGAGACTCAACGCAGTTGTAGATCTTATTGACGCTCAAATCAGGCTGCGCCAGGTACTGTATGTAATCCGCTGGTTTGTCGAATTTTGATCGATTTTCTTGTATGCTACCCTTATAATGCAAAACCAGCATTTCTTTCTTCTTCGACTCCGATTGTTGGCGCAATGGTTCCTTCTTTTCTTCTGTTAGATTCATATTAGCCTAAACACAAAGATAATAATGATAAAATTTCTATTATTTGTTAGATATCATTTCATACACGATACCATTACTTAATAATTACTGAATATTGCGTTCTATCGATACGAAACACATAAAGTGAAAAATATTAACAATTCAAATTCTTATACTATTCTATAATTTTAATGACTATATAAATTTAATATCAAATAAACAAGGGCTAAGTGTTCTCGAGTCAAGTATCTCTAATAATACAGTTAAATAATACGATCCATGTCATTAATGATAAAACTATACGTTTTCAACTTTTAATATAGTCATCCTCAGTGTGACATAAAATAAATTATAAAGTTATCAAAGAAGACGAAACAAATTTTAGCAATATGTTTTGTCATCTTTGTAATAACTTTGTAATTTTCTTAACATGTAGTTTTCTTAACATGTACAGTTATATACAGTTGTTTAACTTTACAATATTTTGTAATTTTTTTAAACGTTTATAATGGTTTTGAAACCATAATAATATTTCTTAAGTTGATCTGTGCTTAAAAGTGAGTCAATTGCTTGTAATTGTAATGTACATGATCGGATTGGATATTTGAATTCGCGAAGTATGCTAAAGAATATCTTGTGGCATTCTTCTTTTATAACAAGTAACAATATGTTTTGTGATTTTGATAATTTTGTAATTTATTTTATGTAACATTGAAAATAATCTTTGTTACATTCCGATAAAATCCTCTCTTTCCTTATTATAAATATGTAATTTATACCTTATCTTTATCTTATCTCTAGTTTAGTATTTCGTCTTAATTTTGATATTTTGTCCCTATTTTATCTTTATTTCGAAACCTTATCATACCTTTTATATATATTGTAAAATTTCCCTTTTCTCTTTTTCCTTTTATAGGAGGGCATATTTAGTTTCTTTATTCAAACTAATAGATAGCTCATATTTGTTGTATATACTTACATGTTGTATATACTCACATAGGTAAAGAATATCTATTCTACAATTTTTTTCTTTTCTTTTGAAAGCCCTTTTTCTAAAATAATAATTAAACAATAGCACATATGCCTAATAATTACAATTTTTTCCTTTTCTTTTGAAAGCCCTTTTTCTAAAATAATAATTAAACAATAGCACATATGCCTAATAATTACAATTTTTTCCTTTTCTTTTGAAAGCCCTTTTTCTAAAATAATAATTAAACAATAGCACATATGCCTAATAATTAAGTAATATTATATATTAAGTAGTATTATATATTAAGACCTTCCCGAATGCGATGAATATCTTTATTTTTTTCCTTTCTTTTCTTTTTTCTCTTTTTCCCCAAATTAAAGTCAATTTAAAATTTAGAATATATCATTACTTCGCCTTGCATAAGGATGTTAATTAAGAAAATTGAATTTTTATTCTTTACATAAAAATAACATAAAAATAACATAATCTAGATTCGGAGTGTCGAGAGTAGGGCTTACGCGGAGCCTTGCTGTCTTATCTTAAGAAAACAAGTGCGACTAGGCCCTACCAAATTTTTAAGTGTTAATTGGCCTAAGAAGATGACATTCGTTGCCAGAATATAAAAGAATTGCAAAAGATAGTCAGTCAGTAGAAAAATATAATAATCTCGGAATAGAGTCCGTTATGACAATCGCCTTCGCAAACAGGAACTATATTCGCACTTTCCTCGTATAAGTTATCTCATGTTTTTTTTTATTATTTCTTTCTTTTAAAAATTTAATAAATGACAGTATTAACTTATTGGATTAATTTCAATTTCATTTGAAATCGGTCCGCGTGAGGTCCCATATAATCTTCGTAACCCTTGCGAAGCCTAGGAATCTAAATTTCTCCTACAAATTATTATCCATTCTTTTCTTGTGATCATTTTCAATCGCACAACCTGATCTCCAATCCCCGAGTAAATTACTTAAATGCATTAACCTAAAAAACGGAGAAACCTCAATTTTTATTACATCGTTACATAATATCTTATTAAATGTCGAAATGTACGGTTGTATAACATATCAATATAGATAATATTATTTGATTGTATTGTTAGCAAAAGATACCTAGCTCGGCTTTATAGTAGCCCTTGTTTATTTGATATTAAAAAATAAATATATTAACTGCATATTTTATTGTCATACTAGAAAAAAGTACATCTATAAACTATTAGAACATGTAAAATATATAATATGTGCAACGTATACGCACCAACATTTCCTCGAATCTATCATTCACCGTCTCTTCGTCCATTCTCTCGATGATACAACGCTGTTGCTCGATTTCGTTGATATCATCACCGGAGTGTGGCCTGGGCATGGTGTTGCTGCCCGAATAGCCACGCGACCCACTCCCGCGTACGGATTTTTTCGGTCGGCCGAACCATGTGTCCAACTGCAATAATTTTAATTTCGTATTGCAACATAATTTTAACTTGCATTTCAGTTTATCAGAAATTAAATCCTTAAATAATCAAAAGAAATTGGAAAGAATAAGAGCACTAGAGATATAGAAGACGTCACGCAAATAATATAAAGCGTAAAACTTCTTTATTCTACTAAACGCGCTTATTAGATATGTAAATATGAAACCGGAATTTATCAATAGATGGCCATAGCTGTCAATGTAGTTGCCGTCAGACGGCGTCATTGGCGCCATTTCCTTGTTTTGACATTTGACAAAGATTTTCAACTCACAACAATACAAGTTTCATACAACAGTATAGTTTGTAATAGCGTTGAATATGTCGAATTTTGTGTCTGGAAACAATGATTTGCGGACAGCATTGATTTTCTGTTACCATTTGAAGAAAACTGCTGCAGAATCGCATCGAATGCTTGTCGAAGCTTAAGGTGAGCATGCTCTTGGTCAATCACAGTGCTTTGAGTGGCTCAAAAAATTCAAAAGTGGCGATTTTGATATGAGAAACGAAGAATGTGGAAAACCATCAAAAAAGTTTGAAGACAGCAAATTGCAAGCATTGTTGGATGAGGATGACGCTCAAACTCAACAACAACTCGCGAATCAATTGAATGTGACACAAAAAGCCGTCTCCATACGTTTGAAATCTATGGGAAAGATCCAGAAGATGGGAAAATGGGTTCCACATGAACTGAATGAAAGACAGCAGGAAAACCGAAAAACCACTTGCGAAATGCTGCTCGCCAGATACAAAAGAAAGTCATTTCTCCATCGAATTGTGACTGGCGATGAAAAGTGGATATATTTTGAGAATCCTAAGCGTAGAAGATCATGGGTAACTCCAGACGAACCATCGACATCGACTGCAAGACCAAATCGCTATGGACGGAAGAATGCTCTGTGTGGGATCAGAAAGATGTGATCTATTATGAGCTGCTAAAACCTGGCGAAACCGTTAATACTGAACGCTACCGACAACAAATGATCAATTTGAATCAAGCTTTGTGTGAAAAACGATCAGAATATCAAAAAAGGCAATACAAAGTGATTTTGCTTCATGATAATGCACCATCACACACAGCAAAACTGGTCAAGGAAACGATTGAGACATTTGGTTGGGAAATACTTTCGCATGCGGCTCACCAGATAGCTCTGTCCGATTACCACTTATTTGCTTCGATGGGACACGCACTTGCTCAGCAGCGCTTCACTTCTTACGAAGATGTACGAAAATGGCTAGATGACTGGTTTGGCTCAAAAGAGCAACAATTTTTTTGGCGTGGCATCCACAAATTGTCAAACAGGTGGAAAAAAAATATATAGCTATCGATGGGCAATACTTCGAATAAAATATTTTTTATCATTTTTATGCAATAAACGTGTATTTTCTCTTAAAAAATTCCGGTTTCATATTTACCTGTACATGTTTCGATTCACTTTTGAGCCTTCCTCAGAGACAACACAAACTAACATATATAAATTGTGAATAAAAGTTATCCTGTCATGGTGAACACTCCTATATCGAGAATTTAAATGCCAGAATTAAATCCAAAAAGAGTGAAAAAAAAATGAACAAAAAAGGAAATATTGGAAATATCAAAATAGAGACTATGGAAAACTAATTTATCAAAAAATTTTAAGATTATAATTAATTATTCTAAAAATAAGGACGCTCATCGTAATCACAAAGCACGTATCAAACATTATTATGGATAATTCAAAAACAAAATTATTCTTTCCAATTTCTTTTGATTTATAAAGAGTCTTTGTTAGTTTGATTTGTTACAGATCCTTAAATAATATCATAATCAATCTGTATTTTAATTTGGTAAAGGAAATATATTTCTCTTCGAAATAGAATATCACTTTCATTATAACTGTAACTATAAATAAACAACTCACTCTGGACAATAAAATAAAAACTTCTGATCGATATAAAACAAGGTTTATTAAATGTATAGAAACTTCAATGAATCTATTCATTGAAAATCTAATAATCTAATTTTTTAATCTATGAGAACAAATATTTTATGTGGAAAATATATGGGAGCCTTGGACTCAAAGATCTACAGAAGTTTTAAGTTTCAGAATCAATGAAACCAATAACCCGCAAAGATAACGTCGACATGAATTCAATAATTCGGTTTCGAATCGAGTGCAAATTCGATTGACAATGAGTCACGCAGTTCCGATAAAACTGTATTCTGAGTTTCACTGTAAATATTTTCCTTTAACGGAACGGATTCGCGTTTTACAATGCTATACTGTTCGAACAACAATTCATGTTCGCTCATGATTTAGAGACATGCTCAGAAGTACATTCCATTTTTTCCAAGATGACGCGCTGCGAAGCTGGAAATAATTACTCCATCCGCTTACTAATTGGATACATGTTTACGCGATACGTAGCACATTTGGACGCAAAGACGTTGCGGAAGAAAGCGATCGAGAGATTTATGATACGTGTCGTCTTCTTTCCATCGGTTAAATCGAACTTCGAAGATTGAACCGTTCCGAAATTCAAAACTCTATCAGCGAGGCTACGAATCGTAATGGCTATGCAGGACGTGATTCACCTGACACAAAGTAGCACGCGCGTGTGAAATTAATTGCTATGATTATATTAGGTGTATAACTTTGCTTCCGCCGTTTTTTTTCCGAAATTCGAGGTTTTATTGTAAAAAACTGATTATACATTTATGATTCAAAGTATTGTCCATCACTGGCCACTACTTTCTCCCATTCTCATCTTTCGGGTAGCGTACGAATCCCGCGTCGAAAAAACTAGTCATCTTTTGAGGCTATCCACGAATCGATCCAATTTTTTACTTCTTCATAAGACCGGAAGTGCTGGTCAGCCAGGCCGTGTGCCATTGATCAACAAGTGATAGTCAGAGGGAGCAACGTCTGGAAAATATGGCGGGTGGGGTAGGATTTCCCATTTCAACGTTTCCAAGTATGTCTTGACCACTTTCGCAACATGGGGTTGTCATGCTGCAAAATCACTTTATCGTGTCTCTCGTTGTATTGCGACCGTTTGTCTTTCAATGCTCGGCTCAAACGCATCAATTGCATTCGATACCGATCGCCTGTGATTGTTTCAGTCGGTTTTAACAGTTCATAATACACTACGCCGAGCTGGTCCCACCAAATACAGAGCATGACCTTGGACGTCAAAATCACCGTTCTTGAAGCGTTGAAACCACTCACGACACGTTCTTTCATTAATAGCGGCCTCACCATAAGTATTTGAGAGCATTCGATGAGCCTCAGCCGCAGATTTCTTCATATTGAAGCAAAAAATTAAAACCTCCCGCAAATGACGAGAATTTGGCTCGTAAACTGACATTTTCAATCGAGAATAACTTTATGATGCAGACACAAATCGACTAATGTTTCTATGAGGTTATGTTGACAGATGCCCAAGTTTATTGTATGACGTCTATGATTTATTTATTTCGACTACCACTTACCGCTAAAGCCATCTATAGGAAAACGGCGGAAACAAAGTTGTACCTAATAGATTCTTCAGCTATCCAAATATTAGATAATACAGCTGAATAACGACAACTATATCCACATAGACCATCATTAGATTGTTTTCATAACATCTTTCGGTTATAGTAAATATTAACATTTCTCGTATGCGAAAAACTTCTATTGTTAAAGTAATAATAAGTTATACGTCAATCGTGGGATCTTGGTATCTTATACGCAGTAGGTATGTTTTGGTACTGCGTAGAAAATTGTTTCATTGGCGAGCAGCAACATAATTATACTAATATTAATGATTGTGGATGCAAAAGTAATTTTTATTGGTATAATGGATAATAACACGAGGATGATAGAGCAGTTTCGCAAAATAAAATTAATTGCTGACAAATAGTTATTAATATTGCACAAAAACTTAAAACGTTAAGTGAATAATGCAGTCAGGTATGTCAAGAAGAGAAAATCTCTACATTAAATTTTAATTATTATATTTTTATAATTATTTAAAATAGGACAGTTCTGATGACTTTGACATGTTGTCAAGGTTACGGTTCTAAACGACTTCCAATATATTTTAGCTATCGCTCGTTATTCATTAAAAAGTTATTTATTAACAAAAAACTTCGGTTTACTTCCACATTGTAAAAAAAGTTCTGCTATATAAAACAAAAATTCTCTGTTTTAAAATAAATTTCCTGTTTTAAAAACAAAATTTTTTTTCAAAAATTTATTTTCTATATAATTTTCTAAATTTTTTTGTTTTTAAAACAGATAATTTGTAATTTTGTAACGACTTTCCACGTGAAGCGAGATCCAAGAATCCACCTCTCCTTCTACTTCGGAATTTAATTGTTAATATTATAGCAAAAATGAAATGTCATTTTTTAAACTTTAATTTTTAAACGAAGATTATCAACTAAAACTTATTGCAGGTCACTCAGAATTATGATCTTAACAACATGTCAAAATCAAGATCATCAGAGTTGGGATCATCAAGCTCCCTTTTTGTCGATATTTATCATAAATCAAATTAAGATTAACACATGATTGGATTCATGATGTGTCCGTGAGCGTTCTTTTTCTTTTGAAATATTACATACGCCTGGCTAAATAATAATCTGTATGTTTCTTATTAATGATCTATATTCATCTCTGAGTGCGAGTGCGGTGTAGTAGACAGCGCACTGATATATTAGAGATCCCGGGTTCAATCCCCGGCAGAACCGAAAAATTTTCATATGCTTGTAACTCCTCTCGGAAGGCAATGGCAAACCACCGAGTAGTACTTTTGCCCAGGAAATCTTCCTATCAAAAATTGCCATTCGGAATCGACGTTTAAGCTGTAGGTCCCCATACGTTGTGTACGATTAGTGCGTGCATACAAAGATATATGAGAGGGAGGCGCCTACGCGCTAAGATAGCGTATGGTACTTGAAGAAGATATTCATCTCTTAAAAACTAGAAAATAAATTTCGTGCATTGCCGGCTTCCATTTCTGTGTAATCCGAGAATATTTTAAAAATTCATCTCAGGATAGAAAAATCTATCACGTATAAAGTGTAATCTTCTTGCACCTAAAATTTTTTATTTTTTTCTTATTTTCAATTAATCTTTTTTTATATTGCAAAAATTTCGAAACATTAAAGAAAATGAAATAATTTGCGTTGAATATTATAAATATTTAAAAAACATAAATATAAAATTAATAAATATAAAATTAAAAAATATTCAAACTATTCAAAAAAATGTTTTTTCTAATTAATTTCATAACTTTTTGTAACAATATTAATAAAATGCAATATTTCAAAATGCAAAAAACGTTCAATTTATATACTGTATTTATGTACTGTAAAAAAATGTTATTTTTCAGTTACTCAATAATCAAATTTATTGAATAGCCGAAACATGAACTATTTTTTTTTTTGTAGTTTGAAATGTCAAAACTTTAAGTTTAACAATGAAACATATGTTTTCTTTAAACAAATAATAATAAACAATATAACATTTTATTATAGGACCGTATATGTGATAACACAAACTATAGAAACTCGCACGGAATGCAAGAGATCCGAGTTCGATTCCCAGCCGAGGTAATATTTTTCGCAATAAGAATTAATTATTTACTATTTATTTACTATGATTTTAATATGTTATTTAACATTATTAAGATCGTTTCGAAGATGCGAATTACATCAAATATTTGTTAAATTCCTAGTCAATTTAACTTGTGATATTATATTATTGCGGTTTAATAGAGTTAGTGTTTTCAAAGACCGAAAAATCATTTAGGCGCGCGTTTCTGGGGATTACATAGATAGTATATAAATTCACGCAAGAATCATACAAACATTTAAGATCCAGCTAGACCGTTTAAGTCTTTGATTTCTATAAATAATAATTATTATAAAACGAACTCTTGAATTTTTAAAACAACATACAAATAAATAAAAGTAGGCTAATGAGAGTACAGATAGCGCAAATTCTTTGTGAAATAATTTAAGTAATTAGAATGATGTCTTCTTTATTTAAACGTTTCAACTCTCTTTGGAGTCCTCTTCAGCAATGTAGATACGAAAGTATTAAGCTCACATGTAATGATTAAACATGATAAGGATGGATTAAATCATAAGAATATCATAAAGAATAAGATTCGGATAAATTTGTAAAAGCATGTATAAAGAACAAGATCGTTCTACATCATTTAAAAGTTTTATTAGATGATAGATTTTTTTCTTTCGATTCGTATACAGAATAAATTTCAGGAATCAATATATATTGAAAATATTTTTAATAGAATTATTGGGTTGTCCGGAAAGTTCGTGTCGACTAAAATTTAAATTTTAGTATACATTTATAAAATTAAAATTTTCTGCGTTTCAATTTTCCTTCAAAATTGACATGAACTTTCCGGACAACCCAATAATTAATTAAATGATAGTTATAGATCTATTGACCATTCACAAAAACAAATTTTATGTCTTAGGAGTAACATTCAATAATATGTTTCAACAATAATTTGTAAATCCTTCTTTAGACAAGAACACACTTTCAATCTCGGATCAGGAAGGAAGAAATCTATCTCTCAAAAAAAATAAAATGGACATTACAAAAAACATAAAGAGAATTTATAAAGACATAACTTTCTTTCCACAGTGATATCTCTTGTCTGAAAATCATTTGAATATTAAAATAGACCCTAGGAAAATAAACCCTGGAATTTATTAAAACATCTTCAGAATCTTCATTATTTAATATCAAAGAAAGTTGGTTTGTAAGTTTATCTGATTTCTCAATTCCAAAAAAAAGTTTAATATCTTTTACAATTAGGAAGGAATTTCTCGATGCCTTTTTTTAATAAAGAAAACATTAATAGATTTTATCAAAAATATAGAAAATAATTTCAATAAAACCTGAAAATATTTTGAATATCAGAAATCTTACCACTCCTAAATATTGAAAAATTATTCATCATTTTCTAATCAAAATAGTCCTATCAGCAGAAGACTAACTCAACTTGTACGTTTCACAAGACAATTTCTTAATAACGATACAGATATATTATTTTTACCAAGGTTGATAAAGGAAATATTACTGTGACTTTAGACAAGAACATTTATATTTCCAAAATTACATAGGTACTTGAAAAAAATCTTGATACATCAATGATACACTAAAAAATCCTTTTAAGGATTTTCTGAATAACTTGCAGTTATGCTCAAGCTAATGAGCACATTAGTGCTCATCATTATAAAAATTTATTTCACTTTTATATAGTATAAGATATTCCATAAGTGTTAATGTGTTTATACAAATTTTTTTTATACAATATAAAATGTCTCCCGCTACTGTCGCCGGTCGAAAAAATAGCGACTTTACTTACTTTGCTACTTACTTTGCTCGATGATTTCTTAAAAACGAATACCGAAAGCCACATTCAGACAAATTTCATATTATTTCTTGTGATATCAAGTTTTATATCTCATTGTTTCAAAAAATTATTAAGAAAAACTTTTTTACAGTGAATAAAAAGATCATTTTCGAATAAGCTTTAGATAGGGATCTTATGTATATATATATATATATATATATATATGTATATATATATATACACACATATACACATATATTTTAAAGTGAAATATTTCGATTTTCAATCCGAATATTAAAGCACATATATTCAGAACACTAAAACAAGCTTATTCTATAAGTTTCAAAAAAATTTAAAGAAAATGGGTTTTTTCGGAGAATGTCTTTAACAGTCTCACAAAAAAGATTTGTGACTTATTGCTATAATGGAAAAGAAATAATATATTTCAAACAGTACCTACAAAAAAATATATTGTAGTGAGGGTATTTATCTCGAGCATACTAACCTTCCTAAAGTGCATAAATTTAACTGTCCATTTAGGACCATAATCTCCATCTCTTTTATTGACAATCCATTATATCCATTGGCGTCTTTCTTGCACATTATTTCTGAAAAATCCCCTAAACCTAATTTTCAATAAAATAGAAAACAGCTTTTAACTTGCACAGAAATTAAGAGAAATACATTTGGACAATAATTTCATATTGATTTCTCTTGAAATCTCTTTGTTCACGAATATCCCCCTAAATTTAGCAATTGAGTGTGTCAAAAAGGTAGGATTATATCAAAAGAGCAAACCATTCCTACAAGACTATTCCTAAAAAAGAATTTTTAGAAGCATTGGAATGAGTATTCATCTCGACTTATTTAATTTTTAATGGAGAAATCTTTAATGGAGAAGCAAACAGAATTTTGGCACCAATTTGGGATTCTCTCTTTCACCAATTATTATGGATTTAATTATACAAAATTTAGAAATTAATTAATTTTAGAAATTATAGGGTTTCCTTTGCAATTTTACTTCAGGTATGTCGATGACATTGTGATGGTTGTCCCTTCTAATATGGTTGATTCATCTTAACAACATTTAATTCCTTCCATCCGAGATTACAATTCCTCATAAAAATAGGAGATAATAGAAATAATTTCTTAGACGTAACAATTATCAATAATAACAATAACAGAATTAGATTGATATCATAAATCAACATTTTCAGAACATTATCTGAATTACTTATTTTCATATCCTATTTTTCATGAAAAAGGGATAATAATAAGTTGACAAAAGCTTTTACTTTCTAATCTTAAATTTCACTGCAATAACATCAAAATTACATTATTGAAAAACGACTATTCGGCTGAATGTATGTGTGACACGATTAATACCCGTCTAAAATATTTATTTAATAAATTCTTATTTAGAGAAAATGATTCAAATGATGATACAACTATTGAATGTGTATCGTGGTTTTTGTTATGTGTGCCTATACAGCATCTACTGCAGAAAAAATTTTCAACCATCTGTAAAAACCCTAACATGAAATTAGCATTTTTCAGCCGTAACAAATTAAAGTTTTATTAAAGTACAGAAGGATTTTCCCAAAATATTATAATAAAAATGTTGTCTATAAGATTACATTTTGTTATAAGAACTGCGATACTTCCTGTTGAACAAACAAACAGGAAGCGTCCAGTAGAATATCTGAGCATCGCAATCACATCAATTGAAACACTAACAACCATTCTGTAATTACAAAACATCATCGTATCAATTTTATATGACTTTGATTGAGAGAACGTCCAAATTTTAGACAAAGAGAATTTTTGAATAAAAGACTGATTTCTGAAATTGCATTTATACATGTGCAAAAGAATGACCTTAACTTGCGTTCGAATACTGAAGGACAGCCTATGTAGCGATGTTAGAAAACTTCTCTTGATCCATTTAATATTTCAATCATATTTATTTATTTATTTATTTATTTATTTATAACTTCTTTTTTAATTTTTGACTCACATCCTTATTTATTCTACAAAGACTCCTTACTATTCAAAAAAAATTTGGAGATAACAAAGCAATAGGAATAATTTTGATATAGGATTTTTTTATGTAGCGGAGGGAGCTCATTATGATAAGATAGTTATTATACATTGTATCTAAAGGCGATTTATATTTCTGAAGAGGAGTTCAAAAATGAGTAAAAACAAGCGTAAGCGCGTTATTATAATAAAAAGTTTTGTGTTATATCCTTATATTATTTTCGCAACGACCCTACCGCGCCCAATTCCTATTGCCCTGTAATTTCCAAATTTCCCTTATTTATTATAATTTTATTTCAACTTGCTAAGATTTCATTGCGTTGATAATAAGTAACAATTTTAACAAAATTTTACACTGTAGCTCTTTTCTTATTTATTACATTTAATGTCAGTACAATGTTTTACTATGCGACCTTTCACTGTCTTAAGAGTTCAAATCCGAGCGGCACATCATCATGTACGGACGATTTTAACATGTGCGGTCATTATCCGAATTCAACACATCTATATTTAATTTGAATATGTAACAAAGCTTCATAACACTCTTCTCGTTCCTTAATGGTAAATCACTTAATTTTCTGAATTCATTTTTCATTCTAATGATATCTTTTTTAATTATATCTTTTTAATTATATCTTTTATTTATTAGATTCACTAGTAATGCTTCATCTTTGTCAATTTGTGAGTGACTTAATCATTATGGATATATGAGCTATTAATACTTTTTTGTATCTACATTGCTGAGGAGGACTCCAAAAAAAGTTGAAACGTTCGAAATAAAGAAAGACGTTATTCCAATTATTGAGTAATAAATCATTTCACAAAGCATTTGCGCCATTTATCTGTGCTGACGGTCATTAGCCTAATTTTATTATTTGTATATTATTTCCTTTAAACATTTTTGCTTCAGAGTTTTGCATTTTTATACCAAAAAGTGTGTTTTTTTCATCTTGTTGATTATAGTTCGATATAATATTTATACACCAGGTATGTAAATATGAAACCAGAATTTTTTTATAGAAAATACATGAAAACGATAAAAAATATTATATTCGAAGTATTGCCCAGTAGCTATATATTTTTTCCATCTGTTTGACAATTTGTGGATGCCACGCCAAAAAAATTGTTGCTCTTTTGAACCAAACCAGTCATCTAGTCATTTTCGTACATCTTCGTAAGAAGTGAAGCGTTGCTGAGCAAGTACGTGTCCCATCGATGCAAATAAGTGGTAATCGGACGGAGCCAAGTCTGGTGAATAAGTCACATGCGAAAGTATTTCCCAACCAAATGCCTCAATCGTTTCCTTGATCAGTTTTGCTGTGTGTGATGGTGCATTATCATGAAGCAAAATCACTTTGTGTTGCCTTTTTTGATATTCTGATCGTTTTTCACACAAAGCTTGATTCAAATTGATCATTTGTTGTCGATAGCGTTCAGTATTAACGGTTTCGCCAGGTTTTAGTAGCTCATAATAGATCACATCTTTCTGATCCCACACAGAGCATTGTCTTCCGTCCATAGCGATTTGGCCTTGCAGTCGATGTCGATGGTTCGTCTGGAGTTACCCATGATCTTTTACGCTTAGGATTCTCAAAATATATCCACTTTTCATCGCCAGTCACAATTCGATGGAGAAATGACTTTCTTTTGTATTTGGCGAGCAGCATTTCGCAAGTGGTTTTTCGGTTTTCCTGCTGTCTTTCATTCAGTTCATGTGGAACCCATTTTCTCATCTTCTGGATCTTTCCCATAGATTTCAAACGCATGGAGACGACTTCTCGTGTCACATTTAATTGATTCGTGAGTGTTGTTGAATTTGAGCGTTATCCTCATTCAACAATGCTTGCAATTCGCTGTCTTCAAACTTTTTCGGTGGTTTTCCACGTTCTTCGTTTCTCATATCAAAATCGCCACTTTTGAATTTTTTGAACACTCAAAGCACTATGATTGACCAAGAGCATGCTCACTTTAAACTTCGACAAGCATTCGATGCGATTCTGCAGCAGTTTTCTTCAAATGGTAATAGAAAATCAATACTGTTCGCAAATCGTAGTTTCCAGGCACAAAATTCGACATGTTCAATGCTATTACAAACTATACTGTTGTATAGTTAATAATAATAACTATACCTGGTACAATTGTTTGTAAAACACATACAACTTCACAAATTTTCTAAAAATGTTCTTCAAAATGTATCTATGTAAGAATTATTTAATAATTTTTGACTGTGTATTATAAGAAAATAAATCTTTCGGAGAGATATTTAAATTTCAAATTTCATCATCCATATGCCATAAGAGCGTGATCAGTGGATTGATAGAATAGTGATATTATCGCATCCTAAATTCCATTACGATAATATTTTGGCAATGATTGAAATTTTCTTCAAAAATTATCTACTTTCTTTCATTTTTTTTCTGTTAACACATGAATAAAATATCACATAAATAATGCTAAAAAAGAATCAAAGACAGTTCAATAAAAACATAATCAGTATTTTACTGTATCATTTGTAAAAAATATTTCGGAATCTTTCTCACATATTGCAAAGAGCTTCAACTTAAATCGGCCTTTCCAATAAGCTAAATAAATACATTACTACTAGTAAAAATCCACTAGAAAAAAACGGCATACTACCATATAACGTAGTATACAAAATCTCTTCGTCATCATGACTGTCATTTACATCAGCCAGACTAAAAGACAACTAAAAGACAACTAAGAACTAGAATCGAAGCATATCAAAGACATTAATAAAAAGGAACGCAGAATGGCTCGCCGCTCAGTGCGATTGACTTCACAATTTGTGGATTCGATCCCACCTGAGTCCCGCATACGCAATTTTTTGCGTTCGCTTTTCAAATTCAACGTAAACTATAGGTTCCCTCGAGTGTGACAAACTCTAAAGAGTAAGAATGCCACTACTATCAAATACAAAACACTACTATCAAAAACATAAGCGAACCTTTGCCTCGAATCCAATTAGTTCTAAGACAAGATCGTATCTGAACCAGCCATCTAAGGCAAGATCGTATCTGAACCAGCCACCTAAGGTAAGATCATATCTGAACCAGCTATCTAAGATGAGACCAAGAAATGACTCAACTAGTCACGGCAGTGTCTGAGCACGATCCAGCCAATCAAGACAAGACCGGGGATGCTCCGGTAAAAGTAATGTCTGGACAGTTTCCAGTCAATAAAGATAAGTATGCTATGCTTGTGTTTAATCACTTTAAATGTTCGAAAACTTGGCCTCTCACTTGTATACACAGGTCCAATCAATGCCGAAAATCATCCACAACTTTTCAGAGAACGT